CCCCCCCCCCCCCCCCCCCGAAGCAGCTGGAGGCTGCCATCTGGCCATGGGTGGATGTCTGGCTAGATAGATTTGATTCGTACGAGAGATTGAGCCAGAAACAGAGACAGACACAGAGGAGGGAAAGAGAAGCAGCAGAAATGGAAGAAGTGAAGGAGACAGAGCAAGAATTGCCAGAGGATGAACAAGACTTAGCAGCTCAGAGATTTCTGCGGCTGCTGAAGCAGCTTCGTACAGTGATTCTTCAGGACTCTGTGCTTCTGCAGAGGCAGTTCCCTGACCACCCTCTATGGTCAGATGCTCTCTTCGTACGAGAGGATTATCAGAAGTATACTCTTCAGATTGTTCAGGCTCTTGAGACAGCTGTGGATCCTCAGGAGATTCAGATTCAGTGAGTAGTATCTGTCATTGCTGATCAGCTGAAAAATGTGCGACAGGAGATGATTCAGTCCATTGATAAGTGGGGTTATGAGAATCAACAGCTGCAGCAAAAGATGGCTCAGCAGCTTGCTGATCTAGTTGATGGTCAAATCATCTTCTCCATACGGGCAGTTCCTCAGAGCTCTGCTGCTCAGAATTCAGTGATGAATCTGGCTGCCATTCCCTCTGCTTCCTCTCTGCCCTCCTCTTCTTCTACTCTTTCCAGAGACATCGTACAGAGGTCAGTGGAGTCAGAGATGGAGATGAGACAATCATCATCTAACAATGCTGAATCTGTGGATCTGACAGCCACACTTCTCACCTCTTCCCGGACAGGAAATGGCTATTCTCTTTCCCGTACGATACAGTCAGTGCCTGATCTGTGGCGGGAGTGGACCACTGGTCTGGGGGGTGGTCCATCAGTGCAGAGCCTGGAGGATCAGGGAGGCAGCTGGCGCAAGAGCTCCTCCAAGGAGCAGATGATGTTCTGCCGGCGAAAGATCATCATCAATGAGATTCGTACGCGTGTGTCCTCTGATATGGCTGTCAGTGCTGCTGTGGAATCTCTGGAGCTGATCCGCCAGCGGGGGAAGCTCTCTCTTAATAAATTGACAGAGCTGTTGAAAAGACAGAGGCAGCTCTAGAGAACCTGTCATTTCCTTTCTCTTCATACGGAGTTGCTGGGACTTTGACTTTATATAATAATATAGATAGAGTGTATTTTTAGATGGATTAGAGTGTACTGCTAGCTAGCTAATGCAGCTCTGCTCTTCATTGTATGAAGGTTTCCTACTATACAGTGTATTCTCTCACTACAGCTGGCTATCGTACGAAGACAACAGAGGGTGGTGAGCTGATTGATGGGGGTGGATGAATTGGCAGATTGATGATGATGACAAAAGCAGTGAATTGTATCTGCTTCTTTGCACCCACTCATCTCTCTATAATAATATCCTCTTCTCCTCTCTCTCCTCTTCTTCTTTTCTTCTTCTTTCAACACACCATCATATCAACCATGTATGTACAAAGTTCTGACAGATTGCTTCATCAACTAGATATCAGATATCACAACACTAACTGCCCTCTTCTCCGTATGATATAGGGCTCTCTCCCTCCTCGGTCTCTCTGGCCCCCAGGGCCCCCATCGCATCCTCTTCGTGGCTGATCAACAGCTGAGTCCCTTCACCCACAGTCCACAATCCAGGGCAGTCCTGGCTCTCCCAGGGCAAGATGTACCCTTTGTACGAGGCAGCATGACAGAGCTGCAGGTTCGAAGCCACCGGCCATCGTACATCAATGCCATTCTCATTCAATCTCGCGGCCGGACGGAGCCACATGCATGCCTTGCCTGCCGGAGTGCTCATCCAGGTCTTCGGCCATTCCCCCAGAATGCCGTCGCCTGCCTGGCCACTTTGGTGGAGCTTGTGGCAACTGCAAATGGCGTGATCATGCCATTCGCTGCTCCGTACGAGATGGGGAAGGGGTGGAGGTGATATAGATTGTGGATGATGATGATGATGAGGAGGATGGCCCTCAACGGCGGATGAGGGGTCCCTCTGGACAGCAGCTGCTCACAGCTGGTTCAACACCTGCTGCTCCTATAATCCTTGATTAGCTCTCTCTCTCTGGTATGTACAATCTCTTTTCTCTTTCTCTTTCTCTTTCTCTTTCTCTTCTGGAGGGGCAGGTATGTATTATTTCTATTTACTCCAGTCATACAGAGCCTGTGTATGACACCTAGACATGATCTGCACCTCTACGTTGGTGTCTAGGACTAGTAGCCCATATGGTGAAGCCAAGCAGGTCATATAGATAGAAGAAAGATAGAGGAAAGGTAGCTAGCTAGCTAGTCAGATCTATATCAATCAATTTTTACCCACAATATTTTTCTTCAGCCAATCATCTTGTACAGAGCTCCAATAACTGCCAAGATAACATGCCAAGCAGACCCCCCCCGTATAACTCGGTTATCCAGGGGGGGTTTGGCTGGGGTGGCGTCCGGGATAACCTGGTTATTTGGGGGGGTCATGTTATAACGCCGCTAACGCGCCCCGTGGAAAACTAGTTAACGTAATTCCCAAGCGAGCGAGCAGCCAAATTCTTCCACCTACTAATTTACCTACTCATCCACTTCAACGCGCAATTATGCCACCAATTCGCTCTAAAGATGCTAGGAACTCTATAGAGATAGAGGGAAGACTTGAACTCGCGATAAATGCTATTAAAAAGCAGGAAATATCCTCTATTTCTGAAGCTGCACGCATCTTTAATGTGCCGCGCTCTACACTTGGTCATAGACTCAGTGGTCGATCTTCACGGGTGAATTTACGCGCAAATTCACATAAATTAACTCCTGCTGAAGAGGATAAGCTTGTTCAATGGATCCTAGACCTAGCTTTACGAGGACTACCACCCCGGCCTGCATTTGTGGAGAATATGGCTAATCATCTTCTTGCCATACGGAAGCCTAGCCATACAAACCACCCTCCTCGCGTTGGCAAGAACTGGGTGTCAAATCTAGTGGCACGCCGTCCAGAGCTCCAATGCCGCTTCTC